CGTTACTTAAAACTTATAAAATACACAAAAGGCGGTTGCTAATAAAGTGACACAGACAAAGTTAGAGAGGTTTTAGTTTAGGTGGAGGCTCAAATTTGGCCATTTAGTAACCATCTGTAGCAACTGAACCTTCTCCACTTACATGCCACTATAGGTATTCATCATCCAGACCTCTTACATGTTCCCATTCAAAGAAAACCATACAATGGCAATTTTGACTCAAAATGGAGCAAATTTATATCACATAAAATGTATACAAAATTGTATCAAATACAAGAATATTAGGTCAATATATCTGAACTGGTGGATGTCAGGGAAATTGCCTTTTTTTGAGAGGAAAAGCAAAGAAAGGAGGTCAACTGCAGTTGAGACTCATTTGTTGTGCCAATGCCTGCAGCAGTTAGAAGTGAAACACAGAAGGACCTGGTATCTCATGCAGTACACAGGTGTCTTCACCCTTTTGATGCCAGCATCTTTTATAATAACTCCTGGATTGGTTACCATTGTCTGCATAGTATGCAGGAGGTTGGTGTTGGTGGTGATGTTGAGGTTTTGGCAAACTCCAACATTCCCTGAAATGCTTCTGGATGAATGGCCTTTTCATGGTGAGACCATTCTTCTTTTTGTACACTTCCTTGTGGAGAAGGAAACTGTACAAAGCAAGGGCCACAAAATGGTAAAAGGAGGTTTTATACGATTTCATAGTTTTGGGGATAAAAGGTTTCAAGCCACCCATGATGCAACTGTCCTCAAAAACAGGATCTGGAATGGTCACATTCTTGGCTCGCCACACAGCGGCCTCTTTCACTCTCCTTTTCACAGTTTGTCTGCTGAATGCTTCATGCACAGTAGAGCACACTTCACGAGTGTCCATCCATTTTACAAACAGAAGTTTGTTTTGTCTTATCCACTGCATTTCTCCCCTTTTTGGTCACTCTGTTCTTTGGAAAGCCAATCAATGGCGATTTTGGTATAGATATTGTCCACGAATAGTGCGTAGCCCCGACCGAGGAGAAGATATGCCATAAGATCCATTACTGATGGCAGCTCAAACTCTGGCCTTTTTTTAAAATTTGATTAATATGTTGTTGTTGTCTGTTCAAACTTTATCCTGGCCAATAATTGGGAAGAAAATTTCCTGCAAAAGGTGGTTTCCTCTCCTCCATCGACACAATTAATGCATCACTAACATTTACGATAAAATTTCATCGAACCGTTGTCAATGAAAACAGGCAGTGTCGTGTACCCATTAACACTAGAACTACCAGAATTCCATTACTACTAGAACGACCACAGCGGTCATTCTGACCGTTCATACTTTGACGTTCATACGGTTGTACTGAACGACATTTTCGTCATGTCATATCTTCATTTGAACCTTCTCTTCAAGTTTTCCAATGAAGCTTTTAATTCCTGTCGTTATGTCATGACGTCATCGCTCTTAAAACAGGCACAAAAGAAAGATTGCCCCGACAGGTGCTGCCTCTCTGTCTGAGGAAATTTTTGCATCAAAAATATTTTTATTTACCGCACTGAAAATATAGTTTTTGATTATATAAATGCCAACAAATATAGAGTGAAACAGAATATGTTGTGATTTTTGGAGATGATTACATTGATCTTTATGCAGCACAATGCAGTACACACAAAAACAGGCTAAGAAAAAACAAACATTTGCTAAACAAGAAAACAAAGAGCTTTAGAAAGTAACGATTAGTTTCAGTGAACAAAAAATATCAACAAACAAAATCAGATTAACATGTTTTCCTCAAAGTAGGCTCATTTGAACGGCGCAAACACCCCGCATCATTCACTGACGCTTACGCACAGTCCACACAGGTACACACCGCCTTTCGTGTGCAGCTCCCACACACTACTTTGTGACATTTAGCACGTCTCCTTGGTTTTATTTTGTTTGCAGTTCCTCCTTACTTGGCACTGCCTTCTCCTCTCCATCTGCTGCTGCTCCTGCCCCGGTCCTGGCTCTTGCACCACCAGTTCTGTGGCTTTTGAGCTCATGTGGTCGGAGCGAAGTTCACTCGCCAGTCGCGTGATGAAGTCCCTCCGCGAAACTTGCTCATTTGTGCACTTCTTGTATAATATGTGTGCGTTGATTGCAGCCAGGTCGAGGATGTTATAGAAAACAGCTACTGGCCATCTACGGGAGGGTGCTTTCACTGAGTATTTTCTAGCCATTTGATCTAGAACGTCTACTCCTACCTTGGTTTTGTTGTAGTAAGTGACCGTCTCTGGCTTGCTTTTCTGGCCACTTGTGATGCCAACAGCTGTGTGGACAGTGCTGAGGATGCAGACATTCCTTTTTTTTTTGCACTGATACACGGTCAGTGTTGCATTGCGCACAGGGGGAGCTCTTGTCTGCTCTTGTTCATCGTGCCAACCAAGCTGGTTTTCTTGGCCTGAAGTGCCTTGGACAGTTCAAAGGAAGTAAAAAAATTGGCTGTGGTGACGTTTCTTCCCTTCCGCAGATATGGGTCGACCATTTTCAGCACCACACTGTCTCCAAGTCGTTGACCTGGCCTCCTTGTCTCGTCTTTGCCCAGATAAGGCGCACCGTTTACCATATATTTGGTGTCGACATCCGCAGCAAGCCAGAATTTGATTCCGAATTTGTCCGGTTTGTTTGCCATATACTGGATGAAGCTGCACCTTGCCTTTGTAGGGAGTAGCTGCTCATCCACAGTGATGTCGGCACCCGGCTTGTAGCAGGTGATCTGAATCTGTTCCAAAACATCACTCATAAAGGGCAAACTTGTCGTTTCGCAGGCGCGTGCGTCGAGTTTCCCTTCTGTCGAAACACAGGAATTGCATGATTTCCTGAAACCTGTTTCGGGACATGGTCTCCTTGAAAAAAGCGCAGCCCCACTCGGCTGACCAAAAGCTTGCCAAATCTATCCCTTTACCGCCTTGCGCGCCACCGAGTCAAGGAGGACAAAAAATGGGACATGACAGTTGAAGAGCTAAAAGCCTTAAATAAGACCAATGAAGGCTTTTAGCTCTTCAACTGTCATGTCCCATTTTCTGTCCTCCTTGACTCGGTGGGCCTCAGCTACGGTGCAGTCACTGATGTGTTTCAGCGTGCCATCATCCACCAAACACAAAAAGGCTGTAAGGGCATCTTTAGGGCCTGCAGCTTCTGTGATTACATTTTGGCATTGTCGCCTCCCTCTGTCTTCACCCGACTCTATATAGGTCCACACTGCGCTGTCTTTCGCCGTTTCACGCCTCTCGGCTGAAAGTGGGTTCATTGGGCCAGCTTCCTCATCCCGTGGCGGACTGAGTTGTCTTGGAACAGCTGATGTATCAGGATTTTGCACTATTGCCAAAAATAAATAACAGACTAATTACTTTTTTAGTTCATGAAATCAGTCTTGTTAGGACTAATATTAGAATATTTGATTTCTACTAGCCTGACAATATAGTATAATACTAATAATAGCAATAGTGTTTTTGATAGCAGATCTGATTGGTATAGCCTACCTTAGATGGTTAGAGACGGATAACTTAACTTTGAAGTACAACTATTATTGATAATAGCCTGGC